TTTTTTTTTTTCTCTAATGAACAAGCTTGTTGTAATTAGCCAAGGTATTGTAAAATTTAGAAATATTGGCATATAGTTTTGTTGTTGGTAAAGTAGTCAAACAATGGTAGCAGGTCAGCAGCAGCTCCAAGCATTTTCGTTATCAACTAGGAATCCAATTGCAGATAAGAAGCACAATCGGTCGATATCAGATCTTAGTGATCCTTCAACCCCCCGACATTTTGAGGACTTGCGTAAGAACGCCCTCCTCTATACTCACGTCATTTCTTTTACTCTCTTTGAGCTGGAGACCATCACCAAGAGCTTCCGTTCTGATTACATTCTTGGAGAGGGCGGTTTTGGTACTGTTTACAAAGGTTACATTGATGAGAATGTTAGGGTTGGACTCAAATCTCTCCCGGTTGCTGTCAAGGTGCTCAATAAGGAAGGTCTTCAAGGTCACCGCGAGTGGCTGGTGAGCTTTTTTACCTCTCCATTTTTCCTCATTTTCTAACTTGTAACTGTCTTAGTATATCTCCCTCTCTATAAAATAGCTGTTGAACATGTAATTACACTGTTTCAGACAGAGGTCAATTTCCTTGGACAGCTCCGACATCCTAATTTAGTTAAGTTGATTGGATATTGCTGTGAGGACGATCACAGGTTACTTGTCTATGAGTTCATGTTCCGAGGAAGCCTTGAGAATCATCTTTTTCGAAGTATGCGTGTTCTTTCCAAATAATACTTGGTTATTGTTTCTGCTTCGTTCTACTCATTATTGGATTTGTTGAACCTTTGCTTGCTTTATCAGTTATGAACACTATGGATGTGGACAAAGAAAAAAAAAAGCCTAAAATGTCGCCGCTGGTGTATCTATTCTTAGTTGACTCAGGATGCGAGTTTTTACTTGGGGAGACTTTGAACGACTGTTAATTGTGTCTTCTTATAGGATCCATATTTGATTTCTTGGCCTGATGGTTTTAATTCAATCATGACATTAGTGGAGATGCTATTGTTTGTTATATGTTGGTGTCAGAAAAATTGGGCCATGGGCTCTTTTGTTTCCTTCTCCAATTGCTTTTGATTCCTTTTGTTTTATGCTTCTTCGGCCTTAGTGGAAGAGTTTTAGAATTTCTGGTTGGAACATTTTTTATTGGGTTTTCTTCCCGTTTTGTTTGGATTGTCCATTTCTTATTACTGGGTGATACCCTGTGTATTTCTACTGTTATATATTTTTGGCAATGAAAGCTTCACACAGATACACACACATACACACTGGAGTTACTAATTTCATGTACTCACTGGCACAACACTTGTAATGATTTTTTATTTGCATATGTACCTGTAATAGCTTGCAAGTAAAAATATTATTAACGTGAGATTCATAGGTGCATAATTCTCGTATCTCCTAGTGTCATTCCTTCCTTATTCTGTATGCCTTTTCAATTCTTTTTGTCATTTTAATCTGATGTGTTTGAACTTGTTAAATGCATTATGATTATATGCTTATAATATCTTTGCCCACTTCTTGTTGATGTGCTTATTCTTGCCAGCATACAAGTTGAATGAATACTGTGTTGCTTTTTTAATATGAAGCTTTATTCATCTATTTTAATTATTTATGGGTACAATCTTGACCTGGAATTTTCTGGGGAATCCAGAAGCAACTGTTCCATTATCTTGGTCAAGAAGGATGATGATCGCTCTTGGGGCAGCTAAAGGGCTAGCTTTCCTTCATAATGCTGAAAGGCCAGTTATTTACCGTGACTTCAAAACATCTAATATTCTGCTGGACTCAGTAAGTGATATGATTTAGTCAAAATCATTCTTCAAATTTTCTGTGTCTGGTTTTTGGCTGAGGGCTTTTTGCACCTTACATTCTGCCAACTCTCTTTTATCACAGGATTATATGGCCAAGCTCTCTGATTTTGGGCTTGCAAAAGCAGGGCCACAAGGTGATGAGACCCATGTATCCACTCGAGTGATGGGTACCTATGGATATGCTGCCCCTGAATATGTAATGACTGGTACGAGCTCAACATGTTTTATTGCCTTGGATCTGTGTCATGCACGCATCATCCCAGCTCGTAAACTAGAATCAGCAAGTGAAGTGAAACTTCATAATGGATAAAGACGACGAGAGAAATCGAAATCATCTGTTAGAGTAAAAATCAAGTCATTCGTAATTCTTTCATTTTATTTATTGCACCCGTAGACGAATCAGAATGCGATAAATAGCAGTCATGCATGTAGATGATTTTGCAGTTATGTTTCTATGTTTAATATCATCAATTAACACAATGCATGAGCAGGGCACCTTACTGCCAGGAGTGATGTGTACAGCTTTGGCGTAGTTCTTCTGGAGCTTTTGACCGGCAGAAAATCTGTGGACAAGACGAGGCCAAGCAAGGAACAAAGTCTGGTCGACTGGGCAAGGCCAAAGCTAAATGATAAGAGAAAAATGCTGCAGATAATAGACCCACGGTTAGATAATCAGTACTCAGTAAGGGCAGCTCAGAAAGCTTGCAGCTTAGCATATTACTGTCTAAGCCAAAACCCGAAAGCTCGACCCTTGATGAGTGATGTCGTTGAAACCTTGGAGCCCTTACAATGCAGTGGTGGAAATGAAGTAGCAATGACATCATCATCGACATCATCATCATCATCTACTTCCACTCTTCTGTGTAGTGGTGGAGGCAACAACCCATTTAAAATGTCGACAAATTATAATCGCACTGCTGTCAGAACTGTCTGTCGATCGTCTAATCCAAATTGCTCCCCTGCAGCAGCAGCTTGTCGGGTTAGATGAGAATAAAGGTATTAATGTGTATTTGTGTCTTCACTTAACAAAGATTGTTGATTGGGAAAACGATGCTTTTGTTTTTTTTCGCTCATGTTTGTTGCTAATAGTTTTGTTGTGATGTTTAACTTCTTCAGTTATGTCATGTGTGTGGGTGTTCATATGTATCTTTGTTTCAACTTTCAGATGCTATTCGAAAATCCTTTCATCATCCATAGTCTCTCTTTTTTATTAGATGTCATGTGAGAATTTCTTTTTTCTTACGTCTCTTTAAATCAATTTATTTTTGTCTCGAATGAACATATTACTATAGAATACTAGGAAATGTTTGTTTCAAGGAAATCGTGGTTATTATTGTTATTATTATATGTGAGATTCTTATTAAATTATAGTTTACATTTATATTATGGCAAATGATAAGTTGGCCCTAATTAATTGGATGTTCTAATTATATATGTTCGGATTTAATTTTCTTTGTCGATCAACTCAATCGCAGACTAATGATTAGACACGACAAACATTTTCTTATACGAGCAGATAGTTGAAGGTATAAATTGATCTAAAAATGTGATGCAGCAACGTGGTAGACGAAAGGAATATAAGAGAAAACTCAAGAGTTCTTAATTTTATTCAATGTTCATTCATCAAACTTCATAAGAGGGAGCTAGCACTGTCAAACGGGCCGGTCCAACCCGGCCCGCTCCGGCCCGC